AAATTTAAACTATATCTGACAAAAAAAAATTGGTGTTGAAAGCTAATGAGCTCAACTCAAGAATGAATTACTGCATTTGGCTTACAGTTACTAATTTCTTAGCATATTCTTACTCAAAAAGGCTCTCTGTGAATCATCATATATAATCAATGTTTGCATTCTCAGGTGATTTAAACTTCTCATTTTTAAGCATGAGGATAACTTTAGTTCCTACCAAATAACTTTTTGCTTACAGAACCACATGGAATTTTTTTAATGATTTTCAATTAAACCTATGCTGTTTCAACCTTTGGGGAACAAGGCCATTCTGCAGTTGGCATTTTTTTTTTAATTCTCCATCATCTAGGATTGACTGAAGACTGTGAAGGAATAAAGCTTATGAGGAATAAAAAAGAGTAAATCTCATTTTCCCCAAGAAGGAAGAAAAAACAAACAAAAGGATTGGTCAGTGTGTTCTATGGAGTCTCAGGAGAGCTCCAAGTTTTTCTCTGAAATGCCATTCAAAAGCTGCAACACATTTCCTTGCTTAGCTTTAAAATTCTCTGCCCAATAAACTCAGTCCTCCATCCCCACCATCCACTCTTAACTTACGGAAACATACTCAAACTTTTATACTAAATGGGGTCAACAAGACAAATATGTACATGTATGGGAATACATCATTAGGTATCAAAATGAGTAGAAATGACTAAAAGTGACAGAGTTTAGGGAAGAATAAAAGTAGTCAAGAACACCTCTGCACAGGATAGAGCTGAGCTGTGCTTGAGAAACCAAGCAGGTTAGGAGCAACCTAACGTCAGAAGTTGCACAGTTATTTATTCTGGACAGTTATAACAACTGGAGATAACATGGATAACCTTGAATACCTTGTTAAGTTTATTTTGGAAGAAGACTTGAGACATTATCGACTTATGAGAGATACAGTGAAATCTGTGGTCTTAGAAGAATTTCTCTGTAAACTTCTTTGGAGTTCACTTTAGGAAATGGAAAATATTTTAACCCTCCCACAGGGTTCAGCAGTAAAGCAAAATGATAAAGCAGGCAGGTTCTGGAGTCCCAATGCCTGCCTGGTTCACAGTCTATTTCTGCTTCCAACAGCAGTGACACAGGGAAAGTTGCTATGGGAAGTGAATGAATTCCCCACCTAGACCACTTCCATTGACTGGAGCACAGGAAGACTAGTTACTACTAGATCCGCTGCTTAGAACCTGGGCTACTACTTACTACAAAGTTATCAGAAGATATGGGAAGAATCTCATTATCCTGTAAGAAGACAATTATCTGAGATTTAAGGGAAAAAACATGCCTTGCAATGGTCACTAAATTTCATATTTTTTACTAACTTGCCAAGACCGTCTCTTAATCTTCTGGTTACAATTAAGTGTGTATACATTATCGAGAAAACTTTTTCTAGATGCTAGAATGGGAAAGCATATTCGCCAGGAAATCTAGAGACCTTAAATACACTGGGTAAAGCAGATCCCAGAATTTCAAATACCTGAAATGTAAAGTAAGGTGTTGGTGACCTTAGCCAACCAATTTAGCCAGCCAAACTTGACAAGACCTTAATTCTATGGATGCTATACAGTGGGAATACACACAGCACTACTGGTTATCCAGTGGAGTAAATGCTAAAAAAGGGAACATCTATTACTGGGACACAAATTTAATTTCTCCAGGGAGAGCGAGCTCTAAAACTCTCCAGGAGCTGTGGGTGTGTCTTCATGAGTACTGATCTGAGGCCCCTGCAGGACACGGACGGAACTGCACCACCAGCCCTGTGTCATGATTTCAGTCTTTCCTAGGGCACCGTGAGGCCTCAGCCCTTCCTGCTAAATGATTCTTTGCCCTTCCATAACACAGTTATCCTGCGACAACTGTACCTTCAGTACAACACTGACGACTCTGAGTGTTGACATCTGACTGCCCTTGCTCCACGACCATTCCCTCCCCAAGACTACAGCAACAGTTGGTCCCCATTTTGTCTTATTATGGACAGGTTTTTGGTTGTTTTTCATGTCAGAATGGCTACTATCTGTCACAGTAGCTAAAAACCATTACTGCCATCCTCTTTCCTGTCTCATGCCTCCCCATGCTTCTGCCCACAGCTGCCATCTTTGTGTGACAGGCCAGCCTCCTAACAGCCCTGAGCCTCCAATCAGACTGCCTCCCTCCTGTCTCATGGAACATGTGTGCTTCCTGGGTCCTGAGTGCTGGGTATCAGGCACTTGGGACTGCTTACTTACCTGTGACCCAAAGTGCATGGGATGAGAAATCAGAGAACCCAGGTCTCAGTGGTCATTCTTCCACTCACTAGCTGTAATCATGGGTAAATATGACCTTAGTGTCTTCTTATGCAGAATGTGTATATCACCTATTTTGCAGGAGTAAATGAGTACATGAAAGAGTAAAACCAAAGGGTGCTGTGGAGTGATTTCAGCTCCTTCTAGGAATGAAGCAGCCCTGAGAGCACTCCAGAGAGCCAAAGTTTTCCTTTATCTAGTAAAAGCCTGAGAGAATTGTGAACTTCATCCCCAAATAAGCTTTCCAGAACAATAGTATCACTTGCACTAACTGTATTTATATAACCCTCTTCAACTTAAAGAGGTTCATTATTTATGGCTGGAATGCTATCTAAATCAGATGTTTTGAAAATAATATTTATCTTTTTCTTCTCATTAAAAATACAGAAAAGTAAAAATATTTTAAATTATCTATAATCCTATCACCAAGGGAAAAATGCTCAACATTTTAATGACTCTTTCTAGGCTTTCGCTAATTTTTTATATCTGTAATATATCACATATTTGCATTTAGGTACATATTTAGCAACTTGGTTTCCATGTAGTAATACAGCAAACATTTCCCCAATTTCCAAATCTTAGTTTTCAAAGGCAAGATATTTTTAATTTGTTTCAAGTTTATTCACGTATGGACATCACAGACCACAGAAAATTTTTATATGTCAAACTTCTTGGTTTGTTTTAGAACCCCAGAGTGAACTGAATGTTTGTAATAAAAGAATTTTTATGTATTGATAAAATTCAATTAAATGAGTAAAAGTAAAATGCTAGAAAAATAAAGCTGAGTAAACATAAATTCAATACTCTAAGTATGATAGAGACCATATCATCTAAAATACCAAAAAATTTTCTCTCAAGTGACACATATTTTTAGATATACTTAGGGTGCTAACAAAAAGAAGACATGAATAAGACAATCTTTATGGATAATTGATAGAGCAGAGATATTTTCTTCATTTAAACTATTTAAACTACATCAGAAACAAAGAAATGCTGTGTCCTAAAAGAAAGTAATAATAAAACTTAAGGTTCTATAAAGTGATAACCTACTTTATATTCACGTGTCACTTAAACCAAACAGTAGCCTTAACTAAGAAAATATGAAAAATACTTATCATCACAGCTCATCTACAACTTTAAAGAGCTCTACAAAACATGGGCGTTTCATTTCAATATTAAGAGAGTAAGGCCCAGAGAAGAGCAAAGATCCCCTTCTACCTGTAATAAACCAGACAGACTACTGACAAAAGAGACTCTTAAAAACCATTACTGTTCTTTTGCCTTTGGGTAAATATTGGTACGCACTCCCTCTTTTAAAATATTTATGCCAAAGATAGAGATTAGACTGCTAAACGTGAGAGAATGTACAAAAGAAATTCTACAAACCAAAGAGACAAAAACAATGAACAAAGGATTTGAACAATCAAGTCACAAAAGAAATTTAAATGATCAATTAATATGAAAAGACATTTAACTTCACTAATAAAGAAATGCAAATTCAAACAAGACTATGCATATCAAATTGGCAAAAAATGAAAAAGAAAAACAAAGGAAAATGAACAGTATGAAACTCTTGGAGGGCAATGTGGCAGTAGCATCATAATTTTAAATGAGCATGTCTTTTCAGCAATCCTACTCATGTAAATTCCTCCTAGAGAAACAGTGGCCCAGAGCAGGAAGACTTATGCACAACCATGTTCACAGAAATATTATTTGTAACAAACAAAAATACCTCAAACACCTAAACTGACTTACCATTTGGATGGTTAAATAAACTATGCTATGTCCATAAGAAATTTCACTCAGCTTTAAACAGAATGACATGGACATTAAATAACAACATGGAAGGATATTCAGGATACATCACTGCATGAAACATAAAGCAAACTGCAGAACCGTATGTACAGTATGGTAACCCCATTTGTTAGAGAAAACAAAAATGATACAAGCGATATAGATGTTTGTTTTTTTTAAAACTTATTTGATTATGTATAGAAAATGACCTGGAAGGATAAACCCTGAACTGTTTCTAGTGTTCCTCTCTGGGGTTATGGATATGTAATAGCAAGGGGTGGGAATTAAGTTTTTATTTTATAATCATCTCTGTTGTCTCAATTGTTTTACAAGCAGATAGAGTACTTTTTATTTTATTTTTTATTAAGGTATCATTGATATACATCCTTATAAAGGTTTCACATGAAAAACATTGTGGTTACTACATTCACCCATATTATCAAGTCCCCCCCATGCCCCACTGAAGTCACTGTCCATCAGTGTAGTAAGATGCCACGGAGTCACTACTTGTCTTCTTTATGCTACACTGTCTTCCCTGTGACCCGCCCCCCCACACCTTGTGAGCCAATCATAATACCCCTCAATCCCCTTCTCCCTCCCTCCTCTCCCCCACCCCTCCCTTTGGTAACCCTAGTCCCTTCTTGGGAGTCTGTGAACTGCTTTGTTCCTTCAGTTTTGCTTCGCTGTTAGCAGATACAGTACTTTTATAATTTAAAAATAACCAATAAAGGGGCAGGGTACTTCTCTCAAAAAATTAAAATGCAACGTATTGTCATAATGAAATTTATAAAGTACCTCAGCATCTACTAGTAAGTTAGGTACTTATAAGCTTAATAAACTAGATACTTAAAGCATAATTATTCAATATAATGACTAAGTATCAAATCTGAACAACCTGCTTACCTCTTAAGGTGATAAATTTTGTGTGTATACTGTCCCTTTTCTCCATCCTTTTCATAAGGCTCATTTTTTAAGACTTCAATTCCTTCTCCACCACCAGTCTCATTCTTACTAGCTTCTGCAACAGAGTAAAGCTGCCCAACCTGATACTGAAATTTCAAAGAGTGAAGAATTTCAATAAATCAGTAGTAACTGTGGAAACTTCCTATGCCAAAAGTCTTACAACAGATGACACAGAAAAGCATACCCAAACCATTCAGCACATATGTTCTATACGAAAACATGACTCAAATTACAAATGAATACCTTTAGGAAGACAAACACCACCAGATGATTATACAGCTTCAATAAACTTTATCAAGATTCTCATTATTTAAGAAAACTGCTACTTACAAATACTTTGGTGCTTTAATCAGTGTGCTCTCCTCTTGCCGAGAAAACATCCTGACACTTGGTTCTTCTTCTTGAATAATAGCTATACATTTGTATTTAATTTCACAAAATTATAGGATGATATGGCAGGGCTGTAATCATTACTTTGCCAATTATTCAATTATATTGAGCAACCAGAATACCATTTTCAATAATAAAGAGGAAGGATATGGTATAATCATAAAAACAGAAAAATACACAGAATCATTACAGTTCAAATGTTACTAGTCCTCTGGGATTTACTAGTCTCTTTCCAGGACTGAGTGATATGCCCAATTTGGCCCTTGCCAACCCAAACAGAAACAGTACTGGATACACAGGATCAGAGCTGTTAATTATGAATTTCTCCAGTAAATTGAAACTGCTCTTAAAGTACTGTCAATATTCAAGTATTGCCATAAAAGATAAGAAATTGCTGACAGTTCCGATTTCATTTTAAAGTGAACCCTAATTCTTAGTGGTCTCCACCAGTATCTCTGAGTAGGCAGTACTGTTATATGCTAACCTGGAATGGCCAACAGGTCCAACAGATGATAAAAAGCCAAGTTTTTGTATTCTGATTTCTTCCAGTGACTCAATCATGGCACTATCTCTAATCTCTTCTAATTTGGCTAAATTTCTTTCTCTGAATGAAGACAGCCTGAAGAATTTTTTTCTTTTTTATAAGCATATTTTCAAAGAAAAGCTACATCTAAAACCTAGTAATTCAAAATTAACATTTTGTTTGAGGGACACAAAACAAGGTAGTTTTAAGTTCAGTAAATATTCCTACCTAAAAACCCCATGGGCATATGATGCTATCTTGCCGGTTAATTAAAACACACTCAATTTGGAATGGTTTAGGAAGCTAGAATCAAATACATTTTTTAAATGCATAAAAAACAAGTTTGTATAGGGATTTTAAATTGCTAGAGAGCTGTATTTCTTCTTTTGGTTTTCATGTTACAACACAAGGTTTAGTCGAGTAAGGCTACTTCAAAATGATCCTTTCCATACTGTCATATTTTAACAATAGGATTAAAATGTCTCCAAGTCAAAAGGTAAATCTGATCTTGGCTGGGAACACAGCAGCAAAAATTTACACAGAAACAACAGTATCCAAAAAATTATTAATGGACTGATATTTTGTAGCAAGTTGCTAGGCTTTCATTCTCATTTTTAAGAAAAACTTAAGAGACAGGAGGCATATTTACTAAGTCTAAGGATAACAAAAAGCTGAGATTATTTAGGACGACAATACCAAGACTCAGAAAGATTTCAGCAAGTTGGTCCAACTAGCTGAAACCGAAAGAAAAAAATTTAACAGAAACAACTGTCAATTTCCAAATGCAAGTTCAAACAGTCAACTGTACAAGTAAAGAATCAGGGTAACCTGGCTTTTCTCGAGTGTTTTAATACAGTGAAACCTCAGCACTACAGAGATATATACAATTGTGTTCTAGTCTACATTAAACAGTGCCAGACAGCTAAGCTACTTGATTTTAGTTCCTGCATGTTACTTTTATTTTTTTCTTTCTGTCTTCTGTCAGCTGTCACTTCTTAGGTTATCAGTTTGTTTTGTCCCACTTCCAATTCACTGCTTCTCATCTACTGTCAGCTCTAGGAAAAGCCGTTAACTGATCAAGTGCAAACTGTGTGTTGTGTGCAAGTTACAGAAGGACCCAGAGGGTTTTATGAGTTTTGCTACATATATCTTGATTTCTGAGAAGCCTTCTCACTTTTATCCTCATTCCTGGCTATACTACAGACAGCTATAATGCAGGACATGCAAGTTCTGAATAGGTGATGTATTTGTGTATCATATGCAGCTCAAGGCAGACAATAACCTCTCACAAGTGTGTGCTGGTGAGACTGTATCTGGAATACTGTTTTCAGTCAGAGCAACAACTACAACACATGCAGTAGTGAGACCAGCTGGGGAGGAAGTCTAGTGGTCACGTTATATTAGGTCAAATGAACGTTCTGGAAATGTTTAACCTTCTGACCTCACGTAGAGATGGAACAAAGCACTTGGGGGAGGAGAGAGAACTGCCAAAAGAAAACCTGAAGTTACCATATGCAAGACAGAACAGGCTTATATCCCATTGCTCAAGTGAAAGGAACTGTAAACAACAGTCAAGCATTACAGGAAAGCCAATTTTGGTTTAAAGTAAAGACAAACATTTAAAATATCACCCAGTATAAAGTAGACTGCCTCTCTAAGCAGCAAGCTACTTAACCTTAAAGTGCTTAAGTTGAGGCTGGAACCTCCTTTCTCTTTAGAGAATTCCTGCACTGGACAGGAAGTTAAACTACATTGTTTAGACCGTTCCAAAACAAGACAGTGTGAAAGAAATTCATTTACAATTATCTGTAACACACCATAATTCATTTTATCACATAAACTGGAATGTAAAGGTAAATGAATACAACAAAACCATGACCTTAACGTATCAAAACAAACCCTATCAACAAAATAATAATGAAGCAAGCACAACTTACCTCCTGAACAGAACATGGCAAAACCACACGACTAAAAAGACAAAAGAAAAAAGAATATACATTATATATGAATTAGTTAGCTTTAAAGCTCAGATCTTTACACTCCAAAGAGCTTTTACTTTAAGTACAATGATAGCACAGTACATAGAAAAGTTTTTAAACTTTTAAACTGGGGAAATAATGCTTTTAAACTGGGAAAATAAAACTACCTTTCCTGGCCCACAGTGATCACTTGCGTTTAGTATCCTCATTGTACCAGAACCCCAAAAAGGCAGTTGTAGAGATTCTTGTGAGGAATACAGGAACAAGAGAAAACTCATCACTGAAAACTGCAGGGTACCAAATGTATTATTTGTAGACTGTCTGGTCAGGATGCCTTCACGAAATTTTTAGTATGGTTTCATTCTCCATCTATACTATGCATTTTGCTTATATAATACTTATCACAGAATAGATGTCTTTAACCTCATGAGTGAATGCTTCCAAAAACTGTTCCCAATATCCAATTATTCCTCAATTTTATTAAGAGGAAAACAATTAAAAGGTCTTTTAGACTCCATTTATAAGGCAAAAGTTTACCATGGAAAACACCTTGAACCTTATAAAGGTAGAGTCAATGTAAGGTTAATATGTGGTCTTATCCAAGGGTTTGTTATTGGACATACAAAAGGACCTGTATAGTGGCACAATGCTCCTGAAGTTGAATTCCAAAAAAAGGGTACTACAGTGAATTATTTTATATCAGAATATTGCACTTTATCTCCAGATTTTTACAGAGAAGTACCTTTACTTATTTCCACCATAAGCTCTGAAAAGCAAGAACATCCCTGAATATCAGTTATCTCATAATAATGGCTAGAGTCCAAGATAGCAACTTTTTTTTGCCCTGGTCCTTCTCAGAACTCTTCCTCCTGACATTAAGCTACCACAGTAACACTATTTAAATCTTAACTCTATTATAAGGAAATCATACAGAAAAAAAGGAAATCTCACATGGTCACTGCAATGTTCATTTTATGGAAAATCTCCAGCAGTCTCCCTCACTCCAACTTCTCTAGCTGCATTTTCCACCTGCTCCTCTCTTCTTATTCTCCTCAAACATCCGCCTGAATGCTCCCATCACCTTAATCTCCAACATGTACAAATCAAGGCTTCTACTATCCCCTCCTGCTCGACTACTGGGGGTCACTCATTACTCTGTCTTCCTGATAATGGTCCTCTAAAGACAATAAACATTCTCAAGCTCACAATGGTACTAATTCCTATTCTCAGCAAGAATAAAATTGTTATTCTAAGTCCTTCCATGCCTAATCATTGTAGTTGTCTCTTCAGGGTACGCACTGACTTGCTCTCTGTCTCAGTAACAGAAAATAAACTGGGGCAGTGGGAGTATATGGGGAAGACTAAGATATAGATTGGGGGCATATTCTGGATGATAAAGTGAGATATAGACAGAGATATAGGTTGGGAGCATAGCTTCAGGGCCTGGAATACAACAGTAGAAATGTATTAAGTTCATTAAGCAACAAAGAATTCTGGAAGGTTGTTCCAAAAGGAGTAAGTGACATAACTACAGCTAACCTGAAGAAGTCATTTTGTGGGCTGCAAACACTGAGAAGCAGAAGTATGGAGAAAAACAATCTTTTGGGAGGCTGGGCAAGGGTTTACAATGGCTGGAACCAAGATGATGGGCTATAGAGGAAACAGACGAACAGAGAGGAAGGTCTTCCCTGAAGTTTCTAAAGCCAAAGTATCACTGCTGAGTAGTTTTAGCCACTGCTCACAAGTGAGAAGATCCGTGTTTTTATATTACACTTTCAGGGAAACTTATTTCACAAAATGAAAGTGACTGATTAAGACATTCTGAATGAATGATGAGTCAAGTAACTTAAAATCCACTTAAAAAAGTGAGAGAAAAAAAGCGCCAAGTTTTTTTTTATTACTATTCTAAAAGCAGTATTCAACTTTTACAACTCGAAAATTTTCAACCTTCTCTGAAAATCCTCATGAAACTAATTTTCCAAATGGAACTAGCAATAGTTCTTTAAAACCAGGACTCCATGCTAACGGCAACTTCATTTACTGCTTAAGGGAGTGCCCCACCCTGAAAAGTCATTTCTAACCTTTTAACTGCGTCAAAAATAGATGGCATTTTTTAAGACAACAAATATTTGCCAGAGTATTTTACAGCTCACAAACATCTTCACATAGGAATGACTTATTCATCGCTCCTGACCATAAACAGTTTTAGAAAGTTTACTTGGGTGTAGAAAGAATCATTTTTTTCATTCAACACCGAGTACTTATACTTACACTTGGCTAGACTAGATTTCTGCCTTCAAAAAGTCTAGGGGGAAAAAAGTCTCGGGGAGACATACATGAGAAGTGAACATCAAGAAATGTCATTTGTCACTGCTTAGGGAAAAACACTTTGGGCACATTTCAACATTTGTTACCTTGGTGCATTAAAATTTTTATAATGAAAGGAAAGGTTCACAAAAAGCAGTGTGCAAACTCCCAAGTGACTGCTTTCTATGAGTCTGCTTGATACGCTTCATTTAACTGTCAAAGGGATCTACTAAACACTTAATTCACATTTTAGGAAGGAGGAAGTAAGTCTACTAAAAGAAAAATGACTGTATCTGTGATTTAAAATCAGTTCTCACTTAGGCCAAGTCTACTTCTTTCTGTCTTGTTTCCTCCATTTATCTTATTATCTGCCATCGACCTACATTACAGAGCTGTTAGAGTAATAAATAACACTTGCATGATACACTGCATAAATGACTTGTAAGAAAAGCTTTATGGAAGTCCAAAGTTCAACACTATAAACAAGCTTTAACTGAAAATGTGTCTTTTCTCAGGATCCCTATCACTGACTATACTTATAATTTTTCATTCATTTATTTAACAAATATTGATTGAGCACTCACTTAACTACGTGCCAGGGACTTATTCTAAGAGTTGGGGATATGGGAGTGAGCAAAACAAATTCACACTGACGGTATAACTGCTATTAAGAACAATAAAGCAGGGAAAGCAAATAACAAATGGTGGGGTCACAATTAGGTTTTCTTTGAGGGAGTCCCTAAAAAGGTGGTATTTAAGCAACGAGCTGAAGGAAGGGAGCTAGCAAGGTGAGGCAAGAGCATTCCAGGCAGAGGGAACAGCAAGAAGAAAAGCCCTGAACAGAGAGATTTTTTTCTGGCATAGTGGAGGAACAGCAAAGAAGCCTGTGAGTTTGTAATGGACAAGGGAAGGGTAGTAAACGGACAAGATCAGAGTAGAAAATAAAATAGGTTTTGGCTTTTATTTTCAGCAAGACAGGGGGTCTTTGGATGTTTTAAGCAAAGAAGCGACAGAAGTGACTTTTTAAAGAAAGTTTGGTAGCACTAAAAAATGAAGTATCCAGAGACAGCTAAATTAGGCCAACATTTTTGTTTAAATGAAAAGAACATTTACAAACCAAAGTACGGGCTACACTCAGACTCCCTAGTTGCCCAGGGAATAATGGTAAGAACCAGCTGTGACAGCTGAACATTCACTGCCAACCAGATTTCCCGCGATACTCACTGTCCTGGAGGTGGTAATACCACAACTTCTCAACAAAATCACCCCGAAACCCTTCTATGTTGACTCAACCCGGTGAAGGAGGTGGAGCCCAGAGTGTCACCCCATCTCTAAGTCTGTGAGACTTGGAGCAGAGAGAAGGCTCTCCGGTTGGGCCCACTGGGCTGCACGGTGGGTGGCGCTCAGTTTTTCCGGACTCCCGGCTCCACCGTGAACTTCGCGGTGCCTACGTCCGCTCCTGAATGCCGACACCAAGGCTGCCTTCACCTGCTAATAAGCCCGTTTCCCGCGGGCTGCAGGCAGGCTCCACCCAGACGGCAAATCACAGTTAGACCTATCGCGTCTTTCCCAGCCCCGGGCTACGGCTCCATCCCACCGGCCGGCCCGGGGTGGCGGGGGTGGGCCCAGTCTCAGACCGGGGATAGGGGGTTGGGGAGAAGGCGGGTCGCGGCGGAAACTCCCAGCCTCGTCTTTCCGAGCCACGCGAGCCGACCGAACCCGGCTGCCTCAGTCCCCGGGGAGAGGGCAGTGTTACCGTGGCAACGCCGGGGGCGGGGGAGAACCTGGGGGCGCGCAGTAGCCGGGCCTCGAGCGGGCCGGGGGCGAGTGCCGGGGCAGGGGGCGCACGCACGAGCGGCCAGCCCGAGCCTCGCTCCTCCTAGGGATATGCCGCCACCTCTTGATCAGTGACTTTCCCACCACCGCCGTCCCGGAGCCTCGCTCGTGCCCACCGACCCACTTACAATTCTTTAATCAGCACCATCTTCCCGGAACCCCCTCACAGCTGCCGCCGTTAGCACCACCACCAGCTCCGCCGCCGCCGCTACCGCCGCTCAGGGCGCCTGCGCGGCCCCGCCTCCCTGCCCTCTCGCGCCACCAGGGCGCCTGCGCATCCACACCCTTCCGCCGCGACCGGTCGCGTCAGCGCGCGAGAAGGGCTAGTACCGCCCAAGTACTGTGCCCCACCCTAAGCGCACGCGGCCTGCACTGCGGCTGCGCGGCCGGTGGGCGGTCGTGCCGATTCTCTCGCAACTGCGCAAACTCGGCCCCGGCTCTCCAGTCTCCTCCCAAAGGCTCCTCGCTCTAGTCAGGTTCCCTTGGGGCGCCTGTGTATCCTGTGCTTTCTGGTGAGTTTCCTCAGTCGGTTCCTTGGAAGTTGTATTCTGTGGCCAGTACTAAACTTTCTCTCACCGCTTTTGGGAGGAGGCCCGCCTCCTTGACGGACACCGCCTTCCGAAGTCCACAGTAAGCCCGAATGGGTTGTGGAGGCGGACGCCGCGAGGCTCGGTGTCCTTCCTGGCGCGTCAGATTCCGCAGGAATATGCTCACCTGGCTCACGCATTCCAGCTGCCGCCTAACCAAGCCCACCTCGTTCGGGCCGACAGTTGCGGCCACACGAGTTCCCCAAAGCCCAAATCCGCCCCTGCCCGAGAACCCATAATCTGGCAGTTGCTGCGGCCCCCCCAGGAGGAACGTCCAGCACGCCCGACCGAGACCCCCGGGGGGAACGACGAGCTCTCCCTTAAGACCCGGGAGAAGGACCTGACCTGGGGAGAGTGAGGGCGGTCACAGGGAGCGGCCCACCGGCCCACCCGACCCTCTCATCCAGCCGGGCACCGGCCCGAAAGCCAAAAGGTGGACCTTAGGCCGAATAGTGGGCTGGGGGGCACTGGTTTACTCTATGCCAGGCACGAGTCTAGACGCTAAAGGATGCGTCTGAAAACAGTAGACACAGTCCTTGCCCTCGCTTGCAAACAAGAGAGAACTTGGCGGAAGGGTGGTAAATGCTCGTCTATGAATAAAATAGGGTGATGGGGGAGGCAGAGTCGTCAAGGGAAGGACTCTCAGGAGGCCCCTGTTTGGGCCTAACGTTGTAAATAGCCCAGCCTGTGCCGGTGGGGAAAAGGCACTCCAGGAAAATAGCCCCCTGAGGCTGGAATAAGCTTAGTATTTGACAAGCAGGTAGAGGGCAGGTGTTGCTACATCTCAAGGGGGCGAGGATAGAATGAGCTGAGACTAAATAGATTACTAGGCCATAGCAAAGAGTTTGAATCGTACTCTAGGAACCATGGCAATCTGTTAAAAGCTTATTAAAAGAAAACAACATCAAAATACTTCTGTATAAACCTATATGGTGTATCTGATATTGAAATTCATCCAATGGACTTAGAGTTGCCTCGCAAAAAATAATGCAAGTGAAATACTTTCCAAAAAGCTAGAGACTCGTGCAAAAAATCACCTAATTAGCTTGTTTACAGAACCAGGTTTCAAATCCAGGTTTTAAACGCTTCAAAGTATGGTCTTTCCACTACACTTTTTCCTATAAAAAATTAATACATAGTTGAGGCATGCAGACAGTCTTTGTGCCAAATAGTTGCTCTCAGTTAAGGAAAGAAGGAAGTTAGAGTCAAAATCTAGAAGATAGTTAGAGGTAAGAGTAGAGCAACTACAGATTTGTACTCCTGTATATGTATTACAGCTAGCAGGTGTTCATTACCATCAAGGAGGTAATTTTTAATTGCCAAACTTCCAGGTGGTCAATTTATGTCTTAATTTCTCCCTAAGTATTATGCAGCCTGAAAATACAGATGGCTTTTAAAACATTGTGGATAAATTTGTGGTTGGCATGTTTTATTGATTAAAAAAAATTAGGGTGTCGCAGAACATTTCTGTAACTTTTGACGTCTTGCCACAAGTGTTCACCAATTCCATTGTCTGCATTGCACAGTTGCTGCTTACAGTTAGTACTCAAATGTTTGTAAATAAATGATGAGACAGTGTGCTGGATGGAGCATAAATGAACTAGTACACAGTATGAACATTGTCTCCTTTTCCCATCTAAAGATTCACCTTAAAACAATGAATTGAAGATTGTAAGGACAGTTTAAGAAAGTAACCAGTTGAGATGTATTTATTGAGGGAAAGAAAACACACTAATTCAAAATTAGGCAGGTTGATAGAAAACATGAAATCTATGTAACTAATTGTACTTTACATCTGCTGACAAGATAAAAGTAGAAGAATGAGGCACTATTGAAGAGTAGAAAAGACATGAACCATCACCCCAAAATCAGAAAGGACATACAAAATAAAAGACAATTGCACATGAAAAAAATAAACTAATGAGTTGTGTGGATATTCTTGTTTTAAAACTAAAGATGTTGACTCTTGCGCATTTTTGCAAATACATAAGATGGGCTATAGCTGGTAGTTGTCTCTGGATGTATAAAAGATCCAACCTCTTTTTTAAGCCTAACATCATTGGTTCCTTGTTTTAACTTTGAACCCTCAACAAGGGTAACTTACACATGGTGTCCAGTTGAGTTTAACTAACTCTATAAGCCTCATCTAACCACCAGTTTCATTATTTCTCTTGTATATAGTTCTGGAGCAAAGAGCTCATTATAGTAAGAATGATGGTAGATTTTCCTGAGGAAAGGCAAAAAATTCTGAACATGAACGGTATTTGGAACACTTGTGCATTAGTTGCTAAAGTATATCTCTGATCAAAGAAATTTGAACACTCCTTCAAATATCATTTAATTTGGCCTTATTTTCCCTAGAGGAGACATTCTTAACCTGGGATCCAAAGGCCTTCTACTGGCTACCTCCAGGGAATTTGTGAACCACTGGAATTATAGACATAATTTCATGTCCATGTACATTTTCCTGGGGAAGAAGTCTGTAGCTGTCATTTACCTTGCTTACTCTCTATTTTGCCATCCTGCTGTATCTTCTGTCTGCAGATATTGAAACTGTTTCTTTGAAAACTGGAAGTATTCCCAAGAATACTTTAATTTTGTCAAACATTAGAGTAAAGGTCATAATATCATACCACTGTGAGACATACAGGCTTGGTTATACTTTGCAGTAGGAAGTCTTTGGCCTGAATTCTGGCTCTGCTACTTGCTGGCTATGTACTTTGAGTAAATTATTTAATCTCTCAGAGACATAATTTATCTGTAAAAAGGAGCTATTGATATCTACAACATAGATTTTTTTGTGAGGAATAAAAGCACCTATCTTACACATTACCTGATATGTAATCGGTGTTCAGTGAATGAGGATCATTTAAGAGCTTATGGCTTTCAGAAAGCAGAACAGTAATTTTAATTAAGGTATAATTAAGTTTTTCCCCATCCTACTCCCTTCATCCCTAGAATTAACTAGTCATTAATCACTACTTATCCTAATGCACGAGTAATTTACATATGTGGATATACACATTCTCATATGGGCACATGAGCATTTGTGTGATCCATATATGGCTTTAATTAGCCTTTTACTTGTTAAGTGCATAATACAGATTTCTATTCTGTATCACCAACATTTGGTATTGTCAGAATTTGTCACTTTCGCTACTTTATTGGTTTTAAAATGCTACCTCACATATTTATTTTGCCTTTCCCTGCAGAATGAGGATCTTTTCATGTTACTGGCTATGTTCTTACTCCTTTGCTCTTTTTCCTATTGGCTTTTTTTTTTTTTGGATGTGTGGCAGATAGTATATGACCATTTTGGATTTAAATTCCATATTCATTATGTACACTTTATATTTTTCCATCTGTGGATTGTGTCACTTTGTTCACAGCAGGGTTTCTCAACCTCTGCAGTACTGACACTTTGGGTCAGATAATTCTGTTGTGGAGACTGTCCTGTGCATGTAGTAGTGTGTGACATTGAGTAGTGTCCTTGGCTTCTTTCCACTAGATGCCAGTAGCAGCCCTCCAGTCATGACTATCAAAAATGTCTCCAGACATTGCCCAGTGACCCCTGGGGGCAAAACTACCCCTAGTTGAGAACCACTGATTCATAGTGATTCATAGTGATTCTGTTGTGCAGTTATTTAAGAAAATTTTGCCCCACCAACATTTTTTGTGTTTTATTTTGTATGCCATGCCCTTGGTGTTTCACATGACCTAATCCTTACCCTTTTATTCATCACAGCACATACAAAGTAGGTACTCTTATTATCCCTACTTTATAAAGGAGCGATCTTATGTCTTCTAATGTGCAGATGTTTATTCAGCTTTACTGAGCTATAGCTTACAAATACAATAAAATGCATCCATTTTAAGTATACAGTTTGAAGATTTTTGTCAAATAAATACTTTGGGTTATCCTTACCACAATCCAGATACATGACATTTCCATAGTACTAAAAGGTTTCCTTGTACCTTTTCCCTGTCATTCCCCTCACACTCCCAACCCTAGACATGCATGGAACCGTTTTCTGTGACTATAAGTTAGACTTGCCTTTTCTAGAGTTTGATACCATTGAATCATTTGGTATGAATTTTTTTTTTGTCTCTAATTTCAGCATAACGTTTTCAACATTCATCATTGTTCTTTGTGTTTCATTCCTTTTCATTGCTGAGTGATATTTCTTTAGACATATCAGATTTTATCCATTTATTTGTTGATGGACTTCTGAGTTTTCAGTGTTTGGCCATTATAAATAAAGCTGCTATGATTATTTCTGCAGAAGTCTTTCTTTAGATAAATGTTTTCATTTCTCTTTGAAAAATTTCTCTTGAATTGTAAGGGAAGTATATATTTAACTCTAGGAAAAGCAGTCAAGTAGATTTGCAAAGTGTTTGTGCCATTTTACATTTCCACCAGCAGTGTATGAGAGTCCAGTTATTCCACATCGCCATGAGCACATTTTAGCCATTCCAAAGGTATGTCATGGCATCTCACTGCAGTTTAATTTGCTTTCCCTTGAAGACTAATAATGTTGAGTACATTTTAATATGCTTATTGGTCATTTGTACATCTTTTATGAAGTGTCTATTCCAATCTATTGCCCATTTTCAAATTGGTTTGTCTTTTTATTATTGAATCAACAGTTCTTTATATATTACAGATATAAGTCCCTTCTTAGATGTATGTATTGCAAATATTTTCTCCCAGTCACTTGCCTTTTCATTTTCTTCACGGTATATTTCAAACAGCAGAAATTTTTAATCCTGAGGAAGTTGAAGTTACCAAGCTTTTTCTTTTATGATTCATGCTTTTTGTAATTCATGCTAAGAAATCAGTGTCTACCCCAAAATCACAAAGATTTTATTTCACTATGTTTTTTCTACAAGTTTAAAAGCTGTACCTTTTACATTTAGGTCTGTGA